GTATCAAACTTTCCTTCAGAAAACGGTCTTTTCGTCCTTATTTCAACCAAATAAACACAAATAACGACACCAAAAATACACTACATTGTCCACTATAATTTTGACCTCGGCATTTCATGAGTTAGCACAGGTACTGTACTTTGATTCATTCCAACTTCTAACCTCTATAAGCATCGGGATACTGACTAGAGATTACTGAAAGGCGAAACATTGACAAACTTTTGCAGAATATATCCTTTAATAAAAGAGGTGAGGAGGTTAGCGTCGGTCCCGCAATTCTGGTAGATGACAAAGTTGTGAGATAGTTGAACCACTTTGTATAGTCCGTAATAGGAGGGCTGCAGTAACCAACAAAAGGCAGTACGACTGATTTCTTGGTAAAGAGACAAGGAGCCTTCACCATGGGTGGAGAAAATTTTTCGGCAGAATGACCTTGCTAGTTATTCTTACGGAACTTCCAGCCATTCAGCATGTATGATTGGTGGCACGATTACCTGTCTAATTTGAGCTTTTAGAGGGTCCTCCTTAACAATTAACATAAGGACAAGGCCGAGGTGGTTTAAATTTGTTAGACTTCTGGGTCACGCGTCCGGGGACGCGCACAGGTAGGCTGAAGGACTAGTACTCTGCAGGGTTTTGAACTAGGACGGTGCGCTGTTCAGTCATGATGGTCACCTATAGCCGTCCACCGGACATAGGGTTATATGAGTGTGTCGATCTTCGAACAGACGGCAAAATGCCTTGTTTGATTTCCGAGGAAATTAATGCGCGAACTTGGAGTAAATCTTTTGGCACAGTCCGAAATTTGATATGAGTATTTGAGCTGAAACCCATCAGTTACTGCGGAATAACCGCTGATGAGCCGAACCCCTCGCAGCTGTGTAAGACAGCGCCACAAGATCGGCGGAACACGCGTGTCTCGGCTTTTAGTTAATACCTGTGTTGTCAGTACGGCAAATAATTACACAATTCTATACTACTGCCTGTCTGTTGGTGGTTTGTGAGTACTACACGGTTATTCCGCAGTAACTGATGGATTTCAGCTCAAATATTCGTACCAAATTCCAGACTGTGCCTGAAAAGGTCTGTTCCGAAAGATTTACTCAAAGTTCGTG